CCCAAAACCCCAAAACCCCAAAACCCCAAAACCCCATTAACTACATTCTTAATAGAAATAACTTAAAATCATTGATACCAAACCCCAACATGACCCCACCAATCTCCTCTCCCATTCCCAAAGTAACCCTTCCTCTCCACCTCTAACCCTAACCTCCCGTACAGGTCAAAATCTTTACAACAGTACAGCCCTCACAACCAGCTGGCTCAAACAGCCTGAAGAACTTGTAGATCAGTCTATTAGCAATCCTGTGGCTACCTGCAAGCTTAGCTTTTAATGTCCTCGTGGATGAATGCATGCAAGGATATTTCCGAGAAGGAGAAATTTGCAAACCCTGTCTCTCTGAATGTAAAGAATGTAATGAAATCTCCAGTTGATCAGCTTGAGAAGACTACATGTTTATGAATTCGACTAATAGTCTTTGAGAGAAATGTCCCATTGGAACCTATTATGGAGCTACTGGAGGTACTTGTAAAAGTTGAGAAGGAAGCTGTGAAGGACCATGTAAAGCTCAGCTGAGTTGTATTACCTGACCTCTTGGAGAAATTTTGAATTTGAGCACTTTGAAGTGAGATACGAGCTGTAATGGAGTGGTGCTTGAGTCTGATATTTTGAATTTACCTCCGTACTGTAAACCATTTGGTGTTGATGGCGTTTCGATGGAGTATTATATAGACCCTCAAAGCTCTCAGCCACTTGAGCTAGGAACTCTAGAGTATCCTTATCGCTCTTTCAAAGCAGCTAACCTTGAAATCACCTCTTTTTTCAGCCACTCAATAGCTGCGATCACCATCTTTACAAAATCTGCTTACCTTCAAGATAACACAAATTACTACATCAATATGACGGCTGTAGGGATCCTTCCTCACCCTCAGTTAGTTTTGTTAGGCCAAGTTCCTACACTAATCCCCACTGCAGTAAAGCAGCACACTACACACAAGAGAGCCTTGTTCCACTTACTTAATACAACTTTTGTAAACTTGGAAATGTCCACCCAGATGGCTATCAACAATGGAGACTTCGGTGACTACGAAGAAGCTATACTCAAACAAGATAAAGTCACTGTCCTTCCACTCAGAACCAGTTTTATACTCCAGAACATCAACATTTACAGAGAAGAGACTCAGCCAGACGAAGTTCTCTGGTTCATGATATTAGGAAATTTACAGGAAAAGTTTATAAACATAAGTATGCGCCAAACTCTGAATAGGAACTTTTAGTCCTAACCTCTCTTGAAACTTCTGATAATTAGTATATGCTTTAGAATCATTTATAATCTTAGGAAGCTAGGTTTTAGATTCCTACTCCCTCGGGAAGTCTACAAAATCTTCTTCGTTTCTCGACACTTATTTCAAATTTTTTACTCACAATTAAATTGTTCATAATAATATATCATTTTGAAAATCGTGTAGTGCATATGATCCCTGCTCTCAAAGAAGGAGGCTATATAGTGATATTAAAAATCTATGCTAGTTTTGTTCAAGCAGGGAATTTCTGGGCCACCATATTCTCCTCTTCCTGGCCAGGTAAATGCAGATCTATAGTAGTTCATTTATCTATTCCGCATAATATTATACTCCAAGATTCTTCGTAAATGATAACTTATTCTGATATTTTATGATTTTTAAGAGAGCTATACTTGGGCTTACTTAGAATTTCCCACTTCAGAGGCTTTGTGCCTTTTGATTAACGAACAAATTATCAATAATGTTCTTCATTAAGCAGCCAGGATATTAGAATATTGCAAAACAGGCTAATTTCTTCAATTTAGCATGAGTTAGCTCGCTTGTTATTTAATACCTAAGAAAAACTAGCCTAAACTCTACCCAGAAAGATTGCACTAAAATTTTTGCTCTGTTGGATCTTCGAAATTTGATTCTATAATACTGAAGAACACTGTCTAGAACTCAGCATCACCTTGCAATAAAGTGCACTTCTTTTCTAAATTTAAATTAAGGAAGTTTGAAATATTCAAACAGAGTTTTGAAGAAGATCTTAAGAGCATTCATAGAGACAATCCCTTGTGTTAGGAGTTAATCACACATGTAGATATTAGATCTTGGCCAAACATCTACTTTTCCATACCACTAAAGTCCAAATTCACAGCAAGATCTTGAAAACAGTCGTGCATACATTTTTTATTCCTAGATCTCACTAGGTACACTAAGGAGTTGGTGAGTTAGAGCTAACCTGAAGTCGTTACTTTTATTTCTAAATATGGCCAACAATTCACTAGACTTATTGAAATTTTATGTCTAGAAGAAGCCAATGAGCAAGTAAAGAGCTAAATCATGGCTGTTGGAACCATTCTAATTACATAAATTCATAGAATTTATGGAGCTATTCGAAATAGTAGATGGTTGTCTAGAAAATAGAGTAAAAATATTCTACTTTCAAAATTGTTACTAAGAAGTCAACATTTCTTACTAACATTAATGTGTTTGTAGAGTAGATATAGCATCAAATTTGTTGTGTAATGATATAATTAGTTTTATCTCTGAACAATTGGTTGTCCGACGATGTAATATTGATGTCCTTTTAGAAAATATCAACCTGAACATTACTGGAAGCTTCATTGAGACACACCGGGCAGCAAACATTGTAATCGAAAACATCAAGGCTGATTTGGTGAGGCAAGACATTCTATACAGATCTTCGGATTTGTCATGAAATGACCCAGACTCCTTCCTTACCCCAACAGTAGTGTTTAGCAATTTCTCATTTGTGAACTCTAATGTTAATAATGGAAGAGCTCCAAAAGATGTTCTGAGATTGAACGAAGTTGGAAATACAACTGCAGTAAACATTGATTGTAGAAATCATTTCACTGATTTGACTAGAGTTGGGGGTTGAGTTGGATCACTATTGAACCCTTCTTGCCTTCCAGATGACTCTCAGCTTCAAGCCATACAGGCTATCAATGTGACTATTGACAATATCTCTTCAAATAGGAGATTTATTACTGGAAATGCTATAAATGCTGACATTGCTCATTATAGAAATGTATTCATTAATATCCAGGGCTTCAAGGCTCAAGATATTAACATTAATTCTCCATTCCCTCTTTTCGGAGTTATTGCAACTTATCATGACGCTATGATTCTTCAGGATTCTGAAATACGAAATGCTATCAGCACTCAATTCCTTACAGGTGGGGTTGCTTTAGGCAATTTTACATCTTTGAACAATGTATTCAGAGACATTGATGGAGGTATTGCGCCTCCGATGATGAGTAGATATTGATATCTGACAAATTTACAAAAATTTAAGCTGGTAAACTACACTTCCTCCATTTCTGCAACGATTCCATTGTTGTATATTTCTCCATTCGATTTTTCACATTTATCTATCGATGAAATACACATAGAAGATTGAAACTTTGCAAATGTTGGTTTTATTGCTATTGACCTTCGGCCTTCAACTCTCCAGATAACCAATGGGTATTTTAAGAACACCGAACTTGGCATGACGAAAGAGTTCTTTAGAGTTTCTAATGTCGGGAATTTTCTATTCTCCAATCACACAATTATTGACTGAAGCTCGATCGACCAAGATAGCTTTTCTTTCCTTCTTAAAATAGGCCTATTGAATCTAAATGAAGCTGATGGAATATTAGTTGAGGATATAATTTTTTTTAACTCATCTATCTCCTTGATAGATGTAGGGACACTCTATCAAACTCTTACTCATCCCAAGACTTTTATAGTCAAAGATATTACTTACTCAAATTGATCGATCCCTCATTCTAATGCCTTAATATCGACTCAAGGGCATATTACTAATGAAAGTTATACCATCAACTTTTTGAATATTGCTTTTACTAATATTGTATTCCAAGGTAAAGGAACTCTCATTAATTTCGGCCATCAGCTCACAGATCCTATATTGGTTGCAAACTTGACGATTGTGGGAGTCAGCTCTTGAAAAATCAATGTTGAGTCATTCTACCAAACCTTGGATACTCTCAAGACCAGAGTGAACATACAAGGAATGGTCTCAGACAGAGTTTTCACAATGTCTCAACCCTTTATCAGAACATACATAGGAGGAGTATTGAATATTACGCTTGCCTCATTCACTAATACTGAGAGTCTGAATGTAAATTCTGGAATTTTTAGTACATTATCCGACTCAGTTGTGTCTCTTCAAAATGCTGTATTTCAAAACAACTCAGGTATCTCAGCAATATTATTCAAAATTAGTGATAAATCGCGTCTGATTTGAAGGAACTGCACAATCGCCAACAACTTTGCATTATCAAAAGCAATTGTCTCCACTGAGACAGATGGAAGTTTTGAGTTTATATCAAGTAATATTTCCCAAAACTATGCACTGGAAAACTCTATTGGAGAAGTATTCGGACTTCTAAAGACCTCTATCATTGAATCTAGCAATATCTTTGAGAATCTTGCCATATCTAAGAGTGCATTTGATACAGAACTGATAAGCTGAGAGAAGCTATGATTCCTTGGCCCACACTTTCTTCAATATTTGCTGAATCTTAACACAACTTCTTTAACTTTTTCGAATGTTGCGATTCAGGTTCTTTACGGAACACTTGAGATTCGTGAGTCTACTCAGATCTACAATCAACAAAAATTCATAAATGCTTTCACATCTACTGTTAGAATTATTGACAGTTCGATATCTCAAATAGTCCTTGAAAGAAGCAACATCGATATTATTTTTTCTGAATTGATTTTATCCAATGTCACAATGAGCAACATTATTAATCCCTTAGAAACTGAGTTTATCTTGGTTACATCAGAGAGCAAGCTCCATGTGACAAACACAACTTTCAAGAGCTCCCATTCCTCGTTGTTCTCTATCCAGTCATCTGGAGTTGAGCTCATCTCTGATCTTAAATTTGTCAATGTGAGCAATGTAAACTCTCTGATCAAAGTAATTGGGGCTACACATTTTACAGCAGATAAAGTTATTTTAAACCAGTCTATTGCAACAGATCAGCTACTCGAGTTTAATGATGCTCATAACATCTCAATTAAATCTATTGAGGTCTCTGATATGAATGTCCCCCTGATTAAAGCTATTGGTTCTTCTTTTCTTCTGTTGCAAGATATTATGATCAGAAACAGCACCAAATCTCTCGATCTCAACCAATGTGTTGTTGTAAAGATGACCCGATGAAATTTTCAAGATAATGGAAACAATTCTACTTCTAGTGGAGGAGCCATTCGATTGCTCAACAGTAATATAACAATAGATAATTCTCTATTTATTAGAAATCATGCTATTCAAGGAGGAGCTATTTCGTTCTCATGAATTTCTAAAAATAATTGATATCTTGATGTACAAAATTCAACTTTTTCGATGAACATTGCCAGCAAATTAGGAGGAGCTATTTACTACGATTATACGCCTCCCAACAAAACTGATGTTGTATTCCTGAATAACTCAGCACCCTATGGCCAAGATTTAGCAAGCTATCCTTTCAGAATTGGGCTACTTGGAAGTACGCAAGATGGAGATATTAAGCTTGACAGCATTGGATCAGGAATTGTCATAGAGCCTCCTCTAAAATTAGCATTGTTTGACTACGATAATCAGATCATGAACCAAGACAGCTCTAGTCAGTTAATAATTACATCTGCGGATCTGAGCAAAGGAACCATTAGTGGCACTAATGTTGATATTGTCAAAAACGGAGTAGCTACATTTGACGAAGTGAAAGCAACGGCTACTCCAGGATCTACTTCTATAAAATTCAAGGTATCTTCCAAGATCTTTGATAAGAATAAGCTTTCAGATGTGTTCAACAAATCTTCGGGGGATACTAACATAATAATTAATTTCAGATACTGAAAGCCCGGAGAACAACAAATAGGAGGCACATGTTCAGAATGTAACACTGGAACCTATTCTTTAAACTGGAATTCCACTTCATGCTATAAGTGCATAGATAATGCTCAGTGTAATGGAGGCAATAATGTGGAAGTCAAGTCTGGATACTGGAGAAGACTTCATAACTCATCAACTGTTGTTGAGTGTTTGTATGGCAAAGCTTGAAAAGGAGGATTCCTTGCTAATTCTACCTCTCCAGTGCAATGAGATCGTGGTTATGGAGGTCCAATGTGATCTCAATGAGAAATCATTGATGGAGCTAAATATGAGAAAACCAATGAGTTCCAGTGAGCAAAATGCCCAAATCCTCTGGTCAATGCTTTCAGAGTCTTTGGATTGATGATTCTGGTATTTTTGTATTTCATGGCTCTGATTGTTTTAAATGTCAGAAAGACCAAAGAGAGTCAAATGTCTGTACTATTAAGAATACTGACTAATTACATGCAGCTGATTACTACATCCATGTCAATGTCTTTGAGCTACCCAAGCTTTTTAGATTCTTTCACTGGACCATTAAAAAGAATGGGTGGTTCATCAGACACTTTCTTATCTTTTGACTGATTTGTCACAGATTATGAGATAAAGGGTCCATTCCAAAAAAACTCTGTGTTCAAACTGTTCTTGCTGATATTTTTACCGCTTGCTTTGTTCTTTGTCATCTCTTTAATCTGGGTGGTTATTTACCTGATCAAGAGAAGATGGATGAAAAATATCCAAAGGAACCTAACAATCTCTTTTATTAGTGTAGTATTTCTGCTCCATCCTAGGTTGACTCAAGCAGGAATCAATATTTGGAGATGAGTCAAAATTGATGAAGATGTCGAAGTGGCAAGATTTGATATGAGTTTTGAGTGATACTCTGCCCAACATTTGAAGTATTGATTCACAATTGGACTTCCAATCTTGCTTTTCTGGTCGATTCTAACTCCACTTGTTGCTTTTATACTGTTGTGCAAGAACAGACAAGCAACTGAAGAGAACAAAGTTAGGAAGTATTTTTTGGTTCTGTATCAGGGACTAACTCCAGAATGATATTACTGGGAGTTTGTGAACACTGTCAGAAAATCACTTGTGTTGGCATTACTTGTTCTGCCTGAGACTACAAGAATAACTCTGAGTTCCATAATTCTGCTGTTATCGGGAAGAATTCAATTGAACTTGAAGCCCTATAAGAAAGATGAGAATAACCAAGTTGAGTTCCTTGCAATTTCTGCAGGAGCCATTACAATTCTGTCTGGAATTGTGTTCTCAGAGAAAAATCCAGTTGAATCCCTAAATACACTCACACTATTCATTATTATTGGTTTAAATATATTTTTCTTGCTTAGCTGGTTGTATTTACTAGCACAAGAATTTTCAGAAAAATCAAAGATAGCTACAAAGGTAAATTATTTAACTCACCAAAGCAATTTTTTGTCAAAATGAGTATCTCGGAAGCTTTAAAAATTTCAAACATAATGAAATCTTCCTTTTCATTATTCGAGCACTAAATCCCATTCCTTCGATGTATGTTTTTTCTTGAAAATAACTACATGGTAAAGTAAAAGGTCTTATTAGAAAAATCTGCTTAATAACCCCAGAGAACTATACTTTCCCATATCCTCAAAAACTGTTCAGCAGAGAACAAATGCTAAAGTGTAGACTTGCTGAAGCTAATTTTGCCCTGAAAATAATGAGGATTACTAGGTGCTTTTAAGATGTTATTTTTGATAAATTCTGGCTTATTTTAATCATCTGGATTATAGATCTCCACAATTTTGGCATGTCTCATCTGACTGAGACAAAAGAAGACCTCTGCTATTGAAAAGGAACCAAAAGAGACTGTGAAAGCCAAAGAGAATGTACAGGGTAAGCTATAAAGAGCCTCAGAATGATCTTGAATCTACTCTCTGGACATATGAGTATATACGATCTCACAGATTTACTTCTAAAATCATTAATTTCTTCTTAGATCCTCCAGTACCAGCATTGATCCAACATCCCGAAGATCATAACACCACAACTCTTTTTGTCCGCAGAAGAAGGGTCGTAAGAAAATTCAGAAAGCGTCGTAAGTCCAATTACAAATTGAGCTAGTTGAAAATTCTTTGAAACTATACAACGAGGCCAGTAAAGGCTTTGGTGCTTTCCAAAGGAATAAACCGAACAAATTGGATAAAGAATTTAATATCCTAAATCTTAAGCAACTGAAGATATCCTATATCACCCTCAGAGCTATTTTCTGATTTCTTAAAGAGTTTGAATAGTGTATCCAAGACTTGCTTAATTTTGTGCTGTTGATATGACAAGTATAATACAGAGAATCAATCACATTTCTCAGTTAATAATTTGTGGGCTTTAGGTAGAAAAGTTGTCAAAAGAGTCACAGGTAATAGACAAAAGTCAAATAAAAGGTAAGCAATCTTATACCCGTATCAATAAGAACTTAGAATTATTAGGTGAACACTAGTTTTAAATGGAATATCAGGGAAGCGGATTTATATTGGATCCAAATTCTTGATATTTAATGGTCATTGTTTTACATCCGATTCAAAACACTACAATAATGTTGATGAAAATCACAATTATATTAGCTTAAGAGAGCATCTAATATTTTCATACCTCGAAATTATTGCTCAATATTACAAAAGTTTGATTTTTAGTTGATAAATATGCATCTTCAATCCTACAGAAATATTTTTCTACCAATTTTCCATTGAAAGTCTAACATATCATAGGGAATCTCAGAAGGAATCAATGTCAAACGTAAGTCAACATGCCATGCCAAGCATATTTATAATTCCAATACATTCACACCCCTAATCCTATCAACACCAATATCGCACAACCTATATCTATTCTGTACATAAGCCACCAATAATTCAATACATAATCTCCAAATTTTCCCATTCCCCCAATTCAACACACCCCTACCCTCTGCACCACCTCCTACTATCCCTCTTTCCATCTTCTCTAACCCACTACAACCTTCATCCTTCCCCTTCACCTCCCCCTCCAGCTAATCCAACCAGACCCCAACAACCTGCTTCCCCAAGACAGCTCCTCATGCCATCTATCCGACATCTCAAATTCAGAAATGCCCTTCCATGCTGGCATGAGGCCTCAGGCCAGAAGAGTCAATTTTGGAATAAATTCAGGAGATTTAGAACAGAATGAGAGTGAGAGATAATAACCTTCTACGACATAATCAAAGATACCACTCTCATCTTAAACTTCAATATTCTATACAACCCTCGGGGTTTTGGGGTTTTGGGGTTTTGGGG